AATCATTAATAAAAATACTGAATAGATATGGTCCACTAACTGTTCCTTGTAATGTCCCTCTATTTATGTTTTTCCAAACTGTTAAATGATTGTTACATATAGTTCGCTGTTTCCAATTATATAAGAAATTTATAAACCAGTTGATTAAGTATGGGTTCAGCGGCATTTGTTTGAGTTTTTCAGAAAGTTTATGATGATTAACGTAATCAAAGGCTTTGGAAAAGTCCATACTAAAGACTCTCACAGCTTTAGTTACACTTTAGTTACACTTTGAATTACAAAGCTAAATGTTGTATCAGCCAAATACCAGAAAAAAAATAAATAAATAAATCGGTCCGTTTACTAATAAACATTTCCAAAGTAATATTAAATACTTACTATAGCTGTTGTTGGCAAATTATGGTTTTTTTCGTTGCAGCAAAGCATTTTCCATATAAATAAACCCGTCATTGTTAATGACAGCAAAAGTAATATTATTATAATGATGATCAGGACACAGTATTTATTTTTACTCTTCTTTTTCATCTTCTTCTCGGTGTCCTTTTGTTCCACAGTAGAAGACGGGCGATAGTTTCTTTGCAAACCAGGTTCTACAATCTTTGTGGGTATAGGGTAACCATCTTCGTGATCTTGGGAATACGTTTTTTCTATCTGGTGATTACGACTCGATGGCTCGTCACAGCCAGGATTATCCAATGAGAATCGTACCTCGCGTGGGGGACGATCACTGTTTGTTGGCTGATTTAATGGTTGGCCATAGACATTCCTAGACATATCTTCGCGTTCTTTGGGGGTATAACGTTTGAGTTCTGGCACATGGGTGTGCCGTTTGCTAGTGACGGCGTAATCCCATGGAAACGTTCGCTTTGGTTGCATCGAAGGCTGCGTTTCGGGGGATATTGGATCATTGAAGCTCATACTGGCTGGCCTCGTTGAAGGGTTTCTATAAGCAGTGTGAGGATTCATTTCAGCAACTGTTTAAACAAAATAGCATTTAATAGCGAATTGGAAATGTAGCATCATGATTAGGTAATATTCGCAAAGAGGTATTCTACCAAAGAATACATTTCTATTTGCTTTATGTGAATAAAGAAACGTTGACGCTTCATTTAATCAAAAAACAATCCTTATGACCATATACAGCCTATCAATAATATAACTCAGTGCAAACAATTGAAGCATTAGAGCATTTCTGAAACGAGTTTAGGCGAAAACTCGCTGGTTGACATTAGATGTGATGTTAACTAAGATGGCAGCCAATTTCAAATTAAGATTATTTCTTCACATTCAAGAACTTAATTTTTTTTTTCAATAACGCTAAATGTAAAAGCTACGTAAGTTTCGGTGAAATTTGGGACGTGTCAGCTGACTCAAAGTCATATATATTTTGCTGTTTGTTTTGTGGTTCATAAGATACCATAGATTTACCTGAAATAACACGATATTTACTGCTGTTTTCTTATGAACATCTAGGCCAATTTTCTGCTATTAAAGATAAACATATCATTTTTTTAATGTTAATGTGACCCAAAATGTCCAAGGTTTTGAGGACAATATCGATTTTTATCTTTGTGAGATTAATGGTATAATACTTAGTAGAGAAAGTGTACCGGTGCCAGATATACTGTAGAAATCTTTTTTGTTGAGTATAGAATCATATCCATTTTAGAAATGCAGTGAATGTACAACAACGGAGAAATTTCTAAAGCATTCGCTTGGACACGAGATAACGCTCTGAAGAACGCCATTTTGCTTTTACTCTTGGAAGGCCTAAATACAAAGATGACGTCACCTATTTTTTGGTAATATATAGTATCAACCGCAAAGCATTCATTCTGAGATAGGCCTCACACCTCCTCTGGTTTTGACCGGTACTCAGCCACTCAACACAAGAAACGTGAGAACCGTACGCGTGAGAATTTATTAAAATCTAGATGAAGATAAACATAAAGCCGGCAAAACAAAACCTACAAGCTAGCAAATAATATCATGTTTTTTTAATACTAAAATATCAGCAAATGGTAGATATGGAGGCGTATACTATAATTTAGATTGGAATTGTTTTTCTTACACATGCTTTGTTCCTATAAAAGAAGGTGCTTACAGTATTAATCGTCCATTAAGAGGAGATTAATTTCAGTCACGAAGGTTTTTATACAAAGTAAGAATCAAAAGATTTTATGCAATTAACGATAAAAAAACATCAGAATTCTAAGAGATTTACCGACATTTTGATGTTTACAGACAAGTTCAATTAAGTTCTGTCTCCAAGTTATGTAATGAGAAAAGCATACGCAAAAATGTAATCTCAAGACTAGTGACGAATATATGAGACTTGCGAAATACGTCTGTAATAATAAACGTTTGTTGTATATGCTGCCAGAAACACTACCTATTTTAGTTTGAAACGAAATTATTTAACAACTAAAAAACAACTATAAACAACTATAAAAGAACTCTAAATAAACAGTAAACAACTATAAAAACTCTGCACTTTATTATCATACTTCATTCTGATGAAGACTACCACAGCGTAGACCGTGAAGTCAAAATGTTTTCAACACATCGTGCTTCAAACCGAAAAAAACCTCAGGTATAAAATCATTTAGTTATCACAGCCAAAGCATGTCAAAAGAAAACAGCGGAATTCGTGTCCACTACTATGTATTAAGTTGGCTTGAGTTGCAAAGTAAAATGACTATATTGATTATATCTTAAATTAAACGTATGTCCCCAAAAACAAGCAGGAAACGTACGCCAAATCTGTGTCGGTAAGAAATGAGAAAAAAAGGTCATTATTTATGAATATCCGTAGTGCGTTTTATGGACATTTCAAGCTTCGCTGCTATATAGTTTCTAACTAGAAATAGGAATACCAGATAAGATAACTGAAAACGTATCAGAAATTAGCTCGTGTTAACTCGACCGCATAATATTGATAAAAATAGAACTAGTTACTTTGAGCCTAGACTGATAATATGACTTTACAGAAAACATATACCTGTCTGTAACTATAGTTCATAGTCAGTTGTATATTAACGTCGTATCTTTGTAACAAAAGCCTTGTCTTATTGATTTAGTTTGTTGTTCATTAGTTGGCATCAAAAATTCCAAAACAATAGAAGTGTCACTACAATTGTATTTCCGTCGCTAAAAATATGTAACGAGAATATGATCACATCGAGCTTTCTGACTTTCATCGCATACTTTTGATATTCAAAGTGAATTGCTCTTTAAAAAAGGCTTGATATTGTATCGCAGGGCAAAAAAAAATTAAATTTGAAGATCCAGATTCTTCCGGTCAATGAATTGACCAAAAATAAAATTTCAATCAGGGCAATTTTGAGCCTCAAAATACTGCACTTGTTATAAGATATATCATAATGCCTTACCAGAGAACACAGGGTTGTCTCTAGTCTGGGTCCTAAATACTGCAATCTCCGTCACTACACTCCATCAATATATAGAGTGAACATATCAAGGAGTATTTATAATTGCTTTTATTCGCATGAATGACCTTTAAAAATTTGCATGTTAAAGAAAATGTGATTTATTGAATATTTCGTGACGTATGTCTTTTTATCGTTATGATATCAAGTATGATAGCTGGAGTATCGAATATTAATAGCACCCGTTGTAAATGAATGCCCATGCTTTTCGAAAGGCACAAATAATAAACAAAAAGTACAAGAATTCTGTAACTGTTTATTTAATACTCCAATAATTGCTCCTCAGTTTAGGATGTTGTACTGATAAGATTTAGCGCAAGACTAACAAAGAACTTTTAAAACTGAATATGATTAAACAATGGATAGGGGCATAGGACGTGTTACTTTATACTGGCTAAGATAAGAGACAAAATTAAGACTTGCTCGTTGGTTGACAAGGCACACAAGTCAAATCAATCTGTCTTTTCTGCAAACATTGTCCATCGCTTGGAGAAGTTACGTTTTTAGGGGGGAGGGCTTAAGAGGGCCGTTGTTGACTTAATAAGTGGGTCATAGATTTCATTTTAAAAACATTCACTATGAATCCCTCCTCCCATTAAGAAAGCGCACCTCCCCTTGGCACCTTCCCTTATTTAGGCTCGGTACTCGATTGTTTAAGTTAATGACCATGTGACTGGTCTTTGCAGTGGGTCATAGAAGTATAGTGTTTAATACGATATGACTCTGATAGAATTTATGACGTAGGAAGACTTATGCGAAGGTCACGAATTCGAGCGAGGTCTGTCAAACATATTATATATTGAATGTTCACCAGCGTGTGAAGCCCAAGCTATAACCTAATTTTCATATTCATTTGTAACATTCTCCGACGCCTTTGAAGATATATAAATATGTCGTAGAATCAAATGAACTTGTGAGGCTAAACACGCAAAACCTCAGATTACATTGCTGCTGCTATAATACCCAGACTTGACTTCCTCTTCACCGCAAAGGTGGTGAAGGCTTTCTAAACTTCGTAATCATTTATGTCAATGTTACTACTAGTGCACATGTTAAGTACAGTTAACCGGCTAAGCATTTGATTGACATCTCATTTATTTGCGCGTACGAGTAAAGTGTGTTTCACCACTCGGATGAGCGTTGTACATTTTGAAACCGGGYGATAAGCCATTACTACGAGGCTCATCAAACGACACTAAACTATCTTCAACTCCCATTGTGAATAATCGAGTACAGTCTGTCAAGGGGTTCAGATATAGTCCAAACATTTGAGGTTGTGTGTAGTTAAGGAAAAAAGAGTCTTGTGATTGACYATTTATTGCTAAAGCAAGTTTGTCGCTGCCATGGATACGGACTTCGATTTGGCTTATGACTGGTATGCTGTCTGCATAATAGACCCCGATGTACGGACGAGTGTCAGGAGGTAATCTATATTCCTGATAAAATAAGAATACATGGTTTAGTCGATACACGTAATTAGAATCTCACAATACAGTTTGGGAGTCCCATATTGATTTTAAACGTTTGAAAATCAGTGTGATCCGGAAGACGCCGCACTCGGGAAAATGGGAATTGCAATATTTTGAATATGATTCAAGTGACCTCAAAGATCGGTTTAGACTTTCTGAGCATAACTAATGAGGGAATGGCACCCTTTTTATCATGTCAAAGATATATAATCTGGAGTGCGTGTCCATTATTTCTTCTAGCAGACTGCCCAGATTAAGAAAAAAATGAGAATGTCACGATACACAGCACTCGTCACGCGATGCAGGAAGAACAGTATCCATTATATCAGTATGCTAGTCTACAGCTATTTCAAGAAAGGTTGAATACTGAATACTGCATACTGAATAGTGCATTCCAAGACCCTAGTGACATTGTCTAGGATTAATAATAATTATTTATTCTATCTTCAGTGTATTCCATCTAAAACAATATACAAACTACATGTAGAGAGTTAATTGCTGTATATTTACTTTTTATTTCAAATTAATGAGACCAAGAATGCCCTTTGGTCTTGGAATGCAAAATTCATTATGCAGTATTCAGTATTCAACTTTTTTTTGAAATAGCTGTATAAACTGCTGAGCATCTTAAAATGTTGCGACACAGCACCATCACAGTACCTCACCTCCATGCGCACAAAACTAGTACTCTCAATGTCGCTCTTTACTCCAGAACGCAATGGATGAAAATATATAAATTATTCGACTTACCTTTTTCGTAAAATTGTGTAAAGCTTCATCGAAAGTTGTGATTATATTTCTAAAATATGATTTTAAAGTTTGATCCAGAAGTAGGTTACAGTTGGTGCACATATAATTAAAAGCTATGAAGAAAGAAAAAAACGTGATAATCACAGGCAGTCGTGGTAGACAAGTGTGTAGACCTCGTGTAGCATATTCCCAGTRCAGGTCAGTTTGAAGCACAATAAAACATTAGAATTTTACCTTCTTAAAATTCATATTAGTTCTTCAGTAATATATTGTTTATTGGACTAGTTATTTTCACTTACCCAGCTTAAGCTCAGGTRCGACTCCAGCGTACGAATTGTATCCATATATATAGGCAGTTCTCTCCCTTATTTTCCAGCCTCTGAAAAACCACAGCTCCCAAGGAAGTCCCGTCATGGTAATACCATCTGGAAATATGTAATCTGCGAAGGAAATGGATGAATTAATGGCATATTTTTTTGTGTAGTTCTCTTTCCTAGTTACAAAACCTGAACGTGGATATTTTTGCAAACAGCTAGTAGAATTAATTATGAACTGGAAATAAAAGTAGAGGGTTTTACCTTCTTTAAAGAATTCTTCCGTTGCCCACGGAGCTAGAAATTGGTTCGAGAATACTTTTATCTCCATCTGCAAGTAAATATATTATACTTCTAGTAATAATAAGTGTAGGCCGAGGTTACGAAACTACTGAAAAGGCGAACCAGTGCAAACATTTTTACCAAGCAATGCTAGATAAATATCTGTAAAGTATAGCAATGGCATGCATTTCATATTTTCCTTCTAGAAAACGCAACCAAAGGGCACCTAACTATGGATTGTCATGGAAACGCTTTGATTGATATTTATCTAATTTATCTTGTCACGAAGGCAAATTGTTTAATCTTCTTAATCATTCAAGAGTAAGCATTCCTGGAAATGTTTAAGCTTGAACGATAAAGACGAAGTCATTACGTAATATCACCTTAGCAAGGTCATGTACAGAGGCATACAGACCACCTGCAGGAGATAACCAGCCCCAGTCCATAACCTGCTGAAAAGAGGTATTGCTGGTGTAACCAACTGGTATATCAGCTATTTGCCTACAATACAGAAAGAGTAAATTATCATTTTCTTATTTCAGGCAGGCAGGCAGGCAGGCATTTAATCTTTTAAAAGAGTAGGTGGGTTTTTTTCGTATTATGAGTTGATAAGGAATCGACTGCGAAGCAAAATGCAAGCATTTCATACCCTTCAGTTACTGTAAAGCTAGAATCGTTCATTCCCAATGGAGTTAGCAATTTTCTTTTCATCCAGTCTTTGAAATTGCCATCTCCAAATCGCTTGGCAAGTATTTGTCCCAATAATGACCAGCCGAGATTACTGAAAAGGTATAAAAGAAAACTGATCAGGATGGACAACACTGTTACTATCAAAGCCTGGAAATAAACAAATTTTAATGAATACATCGCTTGCAAATCCAATAAAGCTTGATTACCAGTGACGTTTCGATTTTTTTTTTTTTTTTTTTTTTTTTTTTTTTTTTTTTTTTTTTTTNTTTTTTTTTTTTTTTTTTTTTTTTGCACCAAGTTTTTATCTTTCCTTTTTCTTTGGGATACCCCTTTTTTCTTTCCAATCGTGTTTTTTTAATTAATGTTTTTTTTATAGTAGGCAGCCACCTTAATACAAAAATAAGGCGTGGAATATTCCATGATACGTCAATCAAAAACATTGTATAAACTTGCATGTGAATTTACATTTTATATGCTGACCTATATTGAGGCTCCGTTCCTGGTTCTCTAAGAACTGTGAGCTTCTTTATTCTGTTTAGCATCGTGGAGTAGCTAAACGGACACAGATTTCTTTCACTAGGGGGATAACATGGTGCTTCTCTTTGTAAACCTGACCTCTGCGAAGCTAGGTGTCTGGAGGAAATACAATTCTATAAGAAAAACAACATTATATCTCCAAACTAGAATTGATTTGAAATTTTAAAATCACACGATAGGAATAATAGTAGTAATAAGATAATAATAGGAATAAATAAATAGAAGCATGCGCAATTGAATGATCTGCTTAAATGTGGCATTCTTTACAGCAGTGGCTTTAAGTAATATTTCAAAAACGAGTGAGAGTGTTTCATTAGGGTTTCCAAACACGAGAAAACATTTGAAAGCACGTGCTTTTATCGTTTTTGAGTGTTTGGAAACCCTAATGAAACACGAAGCACGAGTTTTTGGAATTACTTCTCTAATGAGTTAATAATTTATTATGCAGGAAAAGATGTTTGCTTGTTTTTACTTTTTTATTTAATATAGGTAGAACAGTTGTATGGGGGGAAAAATTAATAAAATATAGATCTAGCTATTTTGAGACACCCACGACAAACATGTAGATTAAGAAATATTTCAGCACTAGTGATGAAAATGGTTTTTCATTTATTAGGTTTCAAAACCCATCCACGTGATCTGAAAAGTGCCCCTCCATTGGTTGCTGAGCTTATTAATTATTAATGAGTTTGAGAAAACAAAAGTCATAATATATGTTGCCCTATTATTCTTAACGTTATATCTTACTTAAAGGTGATGTTCAGATGAAAAGGATTCCTAATATCAAAGGCAGGCTCATAGTGACGGACAGGAATATTGAGAGACGGAACTTGGCCATCACTATATAGCTTGAACAGCATCAGTGACTGAAAGAAACACAAACAAGCTTAAATTAGTGACTAAAACACACATATAAATCATTGCCGGGTTCAAAACATAACATAGAAGCTGAGACCAAAATGGTAGATTGGAGGTACCTTAATTAGATTTATCGGCAATTCATACAACTTTTACAATTCATAAGTTGTTGTACTAGCCATGGAGACTTTTAACGCATGTTTCATATCATTACGTATGCACCTTATTGAAAAACGTTGTCGGGTTCAAAAAAAGGTTATATTATCAAAGCTAAGACCGAAGGGGAGCACGGAAAGACAAACTAATTTCATGCGTATTGCAGTTTTCCATTCCTGTGCACATTTTATGCATCATGGCTTTGGCATGTTGTTAATCTAGGTCGACCGACTTTTCTCTACAGTGCATTTTTACATATCTATATGCAAATATAATACTTATTTCGGAGTACTCAAAATCTTTTTCGGTCTTAGCTTCGATGATATGACCTTCTCAAACCCGACTACTTTTTTCCAATTAGGTGTATGTCAATGAATACATCAGAGGATAATTGTATATCCAGTGGATACATCTATTGGACAACAGCATCGATTTATCCACTGCATAAGGATTTATCCATCAGCTATCCATGGCCACCCTTCGTACAACTGGGCAAAGACAAGCAGATCAGTAGTTCATTACCAGTACAACTTACTGAAAGTATTTTGCTAATGCTTGCACATGGATAAACTGTTTTAGGTGTCGGTGTTCTTTGCACTTTTTCGCTTTTATTTATTACTCCAAATCCTCCTTCCCATAAGATTTTGTCCAGATAAACAATGTTTACACTTAGAGCTGTCTGCAAAGAAAAGGATTCAAAATTACAAAAGAGACAAAGTATCTACAAAGATACTTAAAAAAAGGCTTCTTTAGCTATAATCTCCTTATATATTGTCTTAGCCGGAAGATGAAAAAATGATATGCCTCTTATAAATGCGACCTTCAAGCGAATGGTACTCAATTTTCATTTGTACATGGAGTGGTAGGGACGCAGGTAACATCTTGTTGGGATATGGACGGCTCTAAAAATATCCATAACTTTAAATTATATTTTGTTTGATTCAGTCTAGCGATAACAGCTGACAAGGTGAATATCCTGTGATGAACATCCAACTAAAGATTTCTAATCCCTGATTACAAAAATCGTGCCGGCCCCTTAACTTCTCGCAATGCTTACTACATGTAATACATAATTATTACATACCGCTTTTTCTTGATCTATCTCAGCCTTGATAAGAACCTCTAGTTCCTTTAACATTTCGAGAATTTTAGGTGGGAGTTCTTTAAAATCCAAGGGTTTGGGCTTAAATCTGCATTCTTTTTTATCTGTTCTAATGGTATTCTGTGAAAGATAMGTACATTATTACACTTCTCGAATTAGCCCACTTCAAAAAGATGTATCAAAAAATACTTTTTTTTAAACTTCTTTCAAAAAAAAAAAAAAATTTGTATCGTTCCTTGGAATTTTAAAAGCTGCACATCAATAATTCGGAGGACGTCCAATACTAATGCAATTGCAAAAGATGCGTATTTACTTTGTACACGAGAAGTTTACCAGCCTTAATTAGTTTAAATGTTTTACGAACTGGGATTCTTACATTCCCTTCCACCTGGCAAGAATCTTACGGTATGCCTTTTTCTTATTGTTTATAAAATAAGTTATGAACTTGGGTGCTAAATTCTCCACTTGGCCAAAAAAAGGCGCATATGAGATAACATGGACTATAAATACTTCTTACCTCATTTCTCTGTTGTTGTGGATACGCTATTCTCCATATAAACAAACTGGTCATTACAACTGACGTTACAACAAAGAACAACAATAGAAATAAAATAACAAAATATCGTTTTTTAAAAGCGGTCTTTTTCTGTGGCTCTTCTTTGAGAATAAACTTGCTTGACGTATCCGAAAATGGGGCTGACTCATTCTCTCCCAAAGCGTTCATACTTCCAGATAAACGTATGCTGTTCAGTTTTCCAATGCCATTGGTATAGACATTCAGACTGCCCAGATAAGCTCTGTCAAGAGACTCTGTATCTTTGTCGGGGATATTCTTGAGCGTAGCTTCTCCTAGAATTTGTGAGGAAATAATTTGTACATTAACATAAAAACCAAATGAATGTAATTCTTTGCTAAGTTTTTATTAGCAAATTAATTTGGTTTTTATTTTCATTCACTTTTAGTTTTTTAAAGTTTAGGCTAATTAGGATCAGATAGTCCAAGTTAACAAGAGGTCACTATCACTATCCGAAACTCAATGCTAAGTAACTAGCTTTCGTTATGGAGTCCCAGATTCCATTCATTCTCGATAACAATTCAATCTGAGACAATAATTGACCTGGTTCTATGCCTTTTTTTTTCTCCCGCATGTTACTGATTAACGTTATGGATCTCTTCTACAAAAATTAACGTTTGAAACGTTGGATTGCAATCAGTGAATCCAAGGCATTGCAAGCCACCAATGATCCGAGACACCCAAGGTATCGCGTTTGGTTTCGCGTCAAATGACAGTTAAAGAAAAAATATTCCCTTTATTTTTCATTTTTCCATTGCAGAAATTTTAGCCTCACGCTAAGGAAAGATACACCAATCGATGAGGTGACCATAAGCTTTATTCCCTTCAGGCTCTTTTTAATCCTATGGTAAGATAAGATTAAATAGAGGCCAAGCATAATGCTTCATCTCTAATCACAAATACCCGATGATAGAAAATTTGCTTATGAAGTATATGCTGAAGAAAGGGCTGCTGATCGTGGAGACTGGTGATTAAGAAATTGTTGATGGAGGCTTTGATGATGAGACATTTATTGAAGCAATGTGATTCTCAGCTTCTGGCTGGTGAAAGTTCAAGTCGTTGGCCTTGGAATTTGGTGCAAGCCATTTCATCATGCTCCAAACGCACACGTTCTACTCAGTTCATCTTTTAGGCCATAAAGGACTTAGCGTTTGATTGTGAAGAGTCGTGCTTTAAGAAAAATGAAGTTTCTCCTAGTTCATTCTAATCAAAACAGATTCATATGTCACGTTATCATTACGTGTAACAAATCACAGATCACGCAAAAGTAACCTCCTGCAACGGAAAGCAGTTTTTTATAAAGAGCTCAATAACCTAAAGAAGTGAGCTATTCTTCCTCTGAAATCTCTCCAGCCAGCTAGCAGGTTTAAAATGAAATACAAAGAATCTAAGACTCGTTAAAGATTATAGAAAAACCTTGTTGTAAAATCGGCAAAGCTAACCAAGTTGTTCCAACAGCAATTCTTATTTAATGTTATACAATTATTTAATGAGTTCAACTTGCCATTTCGCGAACGACGTCGCGTGAGACCCGAACTTTCTAAATTTACTACTGGTAGATTGAGCTTTGCACTTATGATTATCTTTGAGCTTTTAAGAACTGCTGATGGTTTACGTAGCAAAATATATAAAACACTGAAGCCCAATCTTTCAGTTTATATATATATTTCCATGAAGCTTGAATTTTTGCAACCTGGAAAATTCTTTTCACTTTTAACAAAGTATGAGCAAAGTGAGCATTCACTATGTTATGAACAAGTGCCTACTGATGTTCTAAGTGTCCTACTATAGCTGTCTCATTAAAACACTGCATGAATCAAGGACATAGTAATCTCTTCTGAAGCCCCAATGTAAATAGCAATACAATAAGATTCCTATACTGAGAAGCAATAACACTTAGTTTGATCAATACTTTATACAGGTTTGAAAATTGAAAATCCATAAAGAAAGAGAATACTAACTATGTCAGTCAAGCTTTAGAGTCGGTGTTGTCGAGGTGATTAGTTGGTCATTGTTCATATTAATAATTATAATGCGAGTTTCTTATATAGTGCACTTCAAATATCTCAATGCACTTATGAGCAGTGGAGGCCTTTACTTTATTAGAAAAAGCTCAGCTATGCTCTTTTCAAGCAGTAAACTATATCTGCTAGCTCTCGCTACTCCCATTGTTGCCGAATGTTTGGCATTTAAGATTTGTATAGCTCAAAAGTTCAGTAAAATATGAAAGCTAAGTTGTCAAAAAAGAGACTATAATATTTAGAAAGGATATTTGCATGGGTTTAGGTTAGTTGACAAAATTAAAACCGTTATGATTTAGTCAACGCTTTCGTTGCCTCTTATTACCTAATTAAAACATGTCATGATGGTGCCATGATACCCATGGATACTTGAACGTCTCTATATTTCAGTAAAATAGAGTAAGTAAGGAGTGCATTCCGCACAACGAAGTAATCGAGTGGAAAGCACACAAACACAAACACGACCACACAAGTCACAAGTCAACTATCTGTTTCTTTACCTTTGCGAAGAGAATTTGCAGAATTACTAAAAAACTGACGGTCTTCCTTCCAATTAGGTCGAAGTTATTTTCAAATGGCAAACCTTTCTTGTGTAGAAGATATATTAGCATGCTTTTCTTCTGTCTTCGTCGCTAATACTTTATCAACAAGATGCTATCAAGCTTGAGGAGCTATTGGAGACAGACAAACTATTCCCGCCCTTATGGTTGTGGACTTTTATCAGATGCATGGGTCAGTATGAGGAGAACGATTCTATTGGTTGATTTAAGATCGATAACATCTCAAATTATTCTTCGTACGTTCATAAATTGCAGATTAAGATCAACTAGTTACCTGAAAACCGCGGTCTAAGAACGATAAAGCCAGTCGAAAAATAATGAGACCAGGAGAAGGTGCTGCAGATAGTTAAGTTTAACAGTTTAACACGTCAGGAGGACCGGAAAAATATATTGAAACGAGTTATCAATCCATCTCGGTCTAGTTCCTTCACAAATAAACCATTTGACCCCAAATACCTAACATCATGACCAAGGATTAGGTTTGATATATATTGATTGAATATTATAGCTTGTTTTTAGTATGCTTGCTTCGGCAGCATTCTGACATGTGGATGCAAGGCTTAGTAAGATCCATATGGAATACGTATGAGATAGGGGTCAAGTTTAATACAAGCCATCTGAGTTTGTTTGATTTAATTAGGAGAAAAAATACCATTGATATTAAGAAGGGATGTGAACTCAGCCTCCAGTTAATAAGAACCCGGTTTGTACAATAGAATACAACTAAATCTTTTTTCCTTGCTGTTTCGTCTTCTTTTTTATGGTGATCAGTAATTAAGACAACTTTTCTGACAGTGCTTCAGTTACTACTAATGAGTAAACAATGGCGATAATTAAGTTCAATAATGACAATAACAATGGCATTGGTGACAACATTGATGATGATGATGATGATGATGGAATGTAATAATGAATTAATAATAATGATATTGATAATAATAATAATTGATAATAAAAATAATGATAATCATAAGAATGATGACGGTGATGATGACAATGATGACTATGTTGATATCGTTACCATGCATGATAATAATGAATTAATAATAATGATATTGATAATAATAATTGATAATAAAAATAATGATAATCATGAGAGTGATGACGGTGATGATGACAATGATGACTATGTTGATATCGTTACWATGCATGATAATAATATATTATGACCACGAAAGATATCATAGAAAATGCAAATGATGATGTATGCACACTTCAAATCATCCCTAGAGCAAATCGATTGGAAATCAGACTCATTTCGATCAATCGGGGTATTTGAAATCAATGCTTCATTTAAGTGTGAAACGGTAGAACGTTCAAGAAATAATAACCTGATAAGAAATCTATGAGAAGTGTTCACAATTTAAGTGTCTTTGTAAGATTCTCGCAGCAACCTACTGTAGTTTTTTGAGCCCTAACCTAAAGTATCTGCTGTTGAAAGAGTTATTCCTCGCAATTGAGGGCCTACTTCTACTACTACTACTACTAATTTCCACGAGGCCCTTCTTAGTGCTGCTTAAATTTCTTGTTTATCTTTGCTGCAGTTTATAATCCCCAATTGTCAACATCCGAATCAATTATTCTGTGGCTTCTTTTGAAATTTCGTATCAATATCATTAGCGGAACACTTGAATCTTAAATAGATCTTTTGATTGAATCAATGCTTCGCGTTCAAAAGGAACAACAGGCGTCTCAACACCCCAATGCAATTCATTTCCAACTCATACTGCGATTCAATAACTTCTTTGTGTCTCTTAACAGCAGATTTCTAGCCTTTAAAAAGGAAATATTTTATCAATTTTCTCTTTGGCACAAGTTTTGTGGAGGTTCTCCGAGTTCTTCACTTATTTTCTTGCAGCTGTCTTTAACAAACTCACTGGGTCATTTAAGAACTTTGTCTTCGTATTCTTATGCTTATTATCCAATGTCATCTCTTGTCAAAGGATGCTTAAAAGCTGTGTTATGCAGCCAGTTGATAGTATGCACATAGCAATTCGATTGTATGCTAGTTTGAATCAGTTTGGCTATCGCCTTCATAACTCTTCGAGGTGCTTCATAACAATCATGTTCCTACATACCATTATCAGAAGACATAACTGAGTGTTCACTCACAGGCTTTCTTCATCTGTATTCTGCAACCAATTTTCAACCTCAGGACCTTTTCTTCTACAACGTTTTGCTCCTCTTTCGCAAGCTTGCCTAATGATAACGTAGTGTACAGGCACGCAAAAACGGCGCCAACGTGGCTAGAGGGAAACTTTTGTTTGGTGATCCGCTTGGTTAAGTTCGAAATCACCCTAGACTGACCTTAGAGTGAACGTTTTTAAATTGAGAATTAATAGCTGGTTAAATAACATTAGAAATCCAAGATTACCGTTTGGGCTTGCAGTAATAGATACGGGTACAGTACTCGACTTGTTTGTCTAACGGGGTTAATGGTCTCAGACCTCACGCATGTTTTCGTGTTGTTGGGGTTTTTTTTCGTCTGCAAAAATATCTAATTTAGCTTAACTTATCACATATGTGTACATAAACTGACTGGTTTTTACAATATATAAATATGTATCAAATAAAGTATCGGTGTTTTTCTCCTGCAATTTAATTATTGTCTATCCCATCAAGACTGCAGCTCTCACTGTTTCTTTGATTTTTAGGCGAAGTGATACGGTAATAAAGTATTTTCATTACGGTCTTCAAAAACCATTCAGGTTATGTCGATATTACATTCATGAGCATTTTCGTTAGAGAAATCAGTTGAATTAGCAGATATTCACAAGTTGCGATTATACTCGTGAAATCAAATACTCAAGAATAGACAAGAAAAATTACTGACAACTTCTCATTGGCTAGCCATCGATGATGTCATTGATCTCGTTTAAGAAGAATCATTGACTAATGATGAGACAACACTTGGCTATTTGAAAGAAGATGATCTAAGGGATAATAAAGACCATTTTCCTGTTTTCTGACCATGCGCATTGTAATGAGCAAAGTTGAATCTGTTTATGGATTCATCTTTGAACCAATATATCAACAAGACAGTTATCAATCAAATACCCATGCACGCGAGCAAGCCGTGTTTATAGAGTTCATTAAGTAATCACGCACCAACACATTCGATTCAAGCATCACTTAGCAAGTCTTGATACGGAAACACTTGGTATAATTTTTTAATCCAGGGCTTTAGTGACGTAACACTCATACTTTGGATTCCATACAGGAATACTTTGCACGACAAAGTTGGAATTGGAAGACAAACACCTAGTGAAGAGATGATGGAGAGCGCTGACAAGCTTTTGATACCTTGCCTTATGATTCAACATCAGGAATCAGCAGAAGTAGAGCCAGACAAAAGAAAATATCAGTATCGGCGCAGAGCTGCGCAAATCCGAGCCATTGGTACTTTATCTGGATTAATGTCAGTATAACCTGACATTATCACGTGGCTAGTAGTTTTGACCTCATTTAATCATTTAACATATATTTCGCATTATTGCCATTGTCATAACCAACATATTTGAAAGAAAAGAATAGCCGAAAATTAAGATTTAATGCAAAATTTAATGTGGAGTTCATGATTTTTCATGCGACTCCAAGTGAACTACCCGCTTGTATACGACATTATAAAAAAACTGTTATGAATGTCGCGTTCTGATTGGTTTGGAGCGCGTGCTTTATGAGAGTACATTGCACGCGCGCGCACTTTCCGTTGCGTCATTCCTATTGATTCCTATTTCTATTATTGTAATTTGTCTTTTATAAAAGAAATAAAAAACTTGCTTGCTGTGCTGTGTGCAGTCATAAAGCACTTGGGGTTAACAGAACACTCGAGAAGTGTCCAGAAGCACTCTGCTACGCGTCGTGCTTCTTCTAACACTTCTCTCGTGTTCTGCCAACCCCCGCGTGCTTTATGACAGCACACAGCACGCGCGCGCGTTTTCTATTTCTTCATCTCTAGCCAGTCAGTGCGCGCATTTAATATGAGCCATACACGACTTTCAAAAATGGCCGCCAAACTCGGTTGGGACTAGGGACAATTGAATGGAAGCGAGGTAAGTAAGGCCTTATTAGTAAACAAAGTCTCCTCAGTACGATATTTTGTGTCAAAGTCATTCATCTTACCAATTCGAGTTCTTTTAAGCGTCTTTTGAAGTAAGGGTGAATGACTTTGATGAATAGGAGACTCGTTATTCGCTTACAATATTTTTCTTCTCAAGCCCGTTGTATTGGCAAGACTTATGCGTATCTTGGACGCAAATGCCCTTTGATCTTGATTTCAAACTGTTGAGTCTTTTTGTTGTTATTACTATACACTATACAGGCAGAGTACTCGTTTGTCATCGTAGTAAGAAATCGCGAACATAATGCTCCAGTACTTAAGCTTCATTGGCTACCAGTACTTTCTACAATTATTTCTAAGTTATCATTAGTTATCAAAGCCCTTAATGTGTTGGCACTTACATTTCGATTCATTCTTTAAAGTTATCGCAAATGGCATTCGCGGTCGTTAGGATCCAGTAACAAATTTCTTCAGCCGATAGAACTTAGAAATACAGCATCAGTTAATTAAATTATCGTGCTATATGATTGGTCTGGCGTCTGCCTTGTAATGCCTGTCACGACTGCAAGGCAGCAAGACAAAAGAATTAGTTGGAAAATCTCGCTAAAACTTCCATCGCTGTATAAATAAGTAAGTGTTAGTTACTCGTTCCGAGGTAGAAGTGATTTTGTTGACCGAGGGCGTAGCTTAATTAATTTAAGTATCGAGGAACGAGTAACTAACTAACTAGCTTAGTTCATAGGTAACGAGGTTATCTAAACAAACTACTAAACAAAGCATTGTTTTATATTTCTCATTGCTTTGCTCGTACGCTTTTAAAATGGTGAAATTACAACTAGACATCGTAATGCATTGTTTTAAATTCGGTGGAATACTTTGTATATATTAATACACATTTGTTTGCATGGAGAGGGAGTTGTAAGAAAGCATGAATATTTGTTACGAAATGCATTTCTTCATGTTATTATAGTTTATCACGTTCTTTAATTGCTATTCTATTGTATGTTCACCTTATTGCCTTTGTTTTAGAAATATCAGGTCTTAAGGGCAGTGGATATGAATAACGCAAACAAATCAGTTATCTTTGTTACGTAATTGCGAGTACGTCATGACCGTCTCAAAATGATTTAAGCGATGATGAAATTTTTTTGACCCAGTCAAGTTTTTCGGTGCCACAATTTGATTTTGACGTTGTGGGAGAATTTTTGGGCATGGAAGATTGGAGAGAGAACCAGGCAGACGTGAAATCATGCAGTCCTGACAAACAAATCGCTCAGAGAAAGATCCAGCTCGTATGTGACGAAGAAGTATGACGTGCGAATTTAGAACGTATTCCGGTGGCTACGCGTACAGTAAATGCAATGACTGGTCTGTGGTAGTTTGGAACCAATGGGCAAGAGAACGAAATAGCTTGGGCTGCAAGTCTACTGATAAATACCAGAAAGCACACCGGAAGACCTTTTAGTTCTCCAAAACGACGAGGAGCTTTTATTTTGGCTGAGTAAGTTTGTAATGGAAGTGAGAAAAACGTCCACCAGGTGATTCGTATCCACCAAGCAGTCTCTACCAACTTTGCTGCGGCATACAGCGATATTTGAGAGAGAATGGGAAACCAGAAATTAATTTCTTAGGGAAACCCTGCTTCAAGCTGTTCAAGGATAGTTTGGATGCAGGAATGAAATTCAGTAACTTCACAAGGTGTTGGAGCCAACGTCAAACAAGCTGATCCTTTCACTAAAGGGGAAGAAGAGACTTTGTGGCAACAATGTCTATTAGGAGATGGAAATGCTCGTACGCTACTTAATACTTTGGCATTTCTTATTGGTAAGACGTTTGCTCTGAGCACAGGCTTACCATCCGAAGTATCTGTGGTTTCGGATGTGTGGGCTCCCTGTAGTCTCTTGTGGCGTTCGCCCGTTAATAAAATTTTGAATTATCGAGTGATTTCGGCTTCTCAAAAATACATCTTCTGAAACTTTTATAAGAATTAAATGCCGTCAAAATAAAGTTTAGTCATTAACTTCATGTTATTTCTTCGTGCGATGCATTTTGAGGCCAGTTTTTGGCGTTTGGCGTGAGCTATGTTTGTGTGTGTGAGAGGGGAAGAAAGGGGGAAGGCAGGCAACAAAACTTACCTTCGACAAAGTCACTTTATCATCGACCTTACTGTTTCCCGCTTAGGAATTTTTTCATGTGCGGTACATGATTCACATCCAGTCACCACATAGGGCTAGTTTTGTTTTTGAAAAATCCTTCGACAAAGTCACTTTATCATTGACATTTTTACGCTTTTTTTGGTTATCTTTATATGAAAACGAAAGATAACTACTTTCTTCCTGTGTAAGAACATTTTTACATATCTTCACCTCGAATTGATTTTAATTTGAAAAAAAATAAGTAAAGTCAATTTTGCCCCGATTTGATTTTCACATTTCATTTTTATCTAAATTGGGCTCCCTGTGCTGAAACTGATGCCTTACGAGAAGATTGCACTTATCTGAGTTTCATAAACCTTTTTTTATTTATCATGCCTCATATGGTGTTGTTTTTACTGTATCTAGACCACAATGCAATCTGTTTATAGAACACAGAAAAGGAAGGGCGTAGYGGCTCAGAGGGCTTGGCAATTAAAAATTGAAATGATGTGCTGTCATCCTCTAGTCATGCACTTAATAAGAAGCTGCGAATCTTAAATACAAGGGTTTGCAGAACAGAGTGCACGCATACCTGCAAGGGAAACCGTCTAAGAAATAAAATAGATGAGTATTGGTTCCCATGCATTCATGTTACTCAGTCGTAAACTTATTTCAGTCGCAATTTATGTTGCTTACAAGGTCTAAAGCAGTGGTAAAAGGATGTGCAAAAACTAAATAACCGACGCGATCCCGGCTATGCTTGAGTGTCTTCCCAACAAACTCGAATTCATAAGAATCTTTAGTAGTTATCAATTTTTTTAGATGCATTGGTTCTAATAAAGACAGATATTTACAATTTTCAGCAATCGGTGCCTGTGTTATGTCGTATATCGAAACCACATTTTAGCTTCTCCGCGACAATGCATCACTAAGGAGAGGGAGAACAATGAATGCGGGATCTATGTATTTATTTTTAGCCTCTGTTAACACTGAATTGCATGATGCAGTTGGGAATGATCTGCATAACCCCTACATCGTCTGGCAGTAAAACGCGGCCTTTTTTGCCGTGTGATTGTACCTCCGGAAAAAATTAAGTTTAACTGTCAGTGGCGGATCCAGGAATTTTAGAAAGGGAGTGACTATAAAAAGGTTTTACAGGGAATGCGAGGAAAAGGGAGTGGCTTACTAAGGATATACTAAAAAATGTGAGCAAAAGTGGAAGGGGGGAGGGGGGGGGCTAATCACCCCCTTTACCACTCCTGGATCCGTATCTGATTGTTGAACTTATTATATTTATTTATTTATTTATTTATTTATTTATTTATTTATTTATTTATTTATTTATTTATTTATTGATCCGCACAACAGAACAACGCTCTTACCAACTGAGCTAACCGGGTGGCAGTTGAATAAGAGCTGCATAAGAAACGACTGAACTAAACAAAATACAATTGTTGATTCTATGTCCACTTGAATGTTGTTTGGTCACCGTATGGAGAGGATGTAGCTGTGTGAGCGTTTTAAATATCACAACTAAACAGCCTCTTTATCATAAGGATTGGAATGATATCAATTCATTGTTAGATGTGCAAGGTATCGCTGCAAAGAAGCGAAAAAAGTCTGAACGACTTGTATTTCCTTAAAAGTCTTTCTAATAAGCTAAATATTGTCTAAATTGTCTATTTAGAACGCGAGTTAGAATATTTTGTTTTATACGGACGTGCTCGTTAGGTATGAACAACAAGCATGCCGTCCTTTCGTTTATGGCATGTTAATTTATCGAGATAACAATTTGGTGATTCATTCTGCATCAAAAAAAGTCTGAACGACTTGTATGTCTAATAAACTAAATATTGTCTATTTAGAACGCGAGTTAGAATATTTTGGTTTAGACGGACATGCACATTGGGTGTGAACAACAAACATGGCGTCCTTTCCCGGGGGGGGGGGGTACTCCCCTATATTCGCTATACAGGTACGTGCCGCCAAACAGGGTATGGTTTTCAGCGTTTTTACTCTGGAACAGGGTATATAAAATCGCTCTCGCTCTGGGACAGGGTATATGAAATTAGGCTCTCTCCTCTCTGGAACAGGGTATCTATTTTCGCACTACCGGAAAAGGTTATGGTTTTCAGCGATCTTGCTCTGGAACAGGGTATGAATTTCAGCGATTTTACTCTGGAACAGGGTCAGGGTTTAGATGGCTCAGCGGCACATCCCTACCCTAAACAGGCAAGAGTACCCCCCCCCCCCGGGCTTCCTTTCGTTTATACATGTTTATTTACCGGGGTATTCATTTGGTGATTCATTATACATCAAAAATAAATTAACGAGTTGTATTTCCATAAAACGTGTCTAATATTAAAGCTATATTCCATGATGAGTGATGAAGAATTCGAGAAAACCTAAAACATTTTGGTTTGAACTGATATGTGATGTAAACAATAAGATGAGACGCTGTCTCTTGCGTTGCTATGATACAATTCAAAAGCAGTCGACTGTAAAAAGTAGTCTTACGCATGCGTTATAGACCACGTGGTTTAAGATTGACTTTTTAATGAATTACACACTTTGTCCGTACTGACGCCGTAATGATATATAATTTTTTTCTTACTGCATTAATTGCTTTTTGCTTTTTGCTTTTTTATATCGTTTCCAGGATGTTGTTTTYTTTAATTTCTAGCTATGGATGTAAAGCCCTTTAGAATGTTTTAATAGGTTGAGCGTTATATAAATCGTATTATTGTTATTGTTATTAAAAACTGGCTGGGAGGTCGGCCGATAAAATGAGTCTCGAAAGAGGTCATGTCAGTAGACAAATAAGTGGTGGGAGATTCAAACGGATACAGATATTTTTTATCTAGTCTATAAACTGCATTAACCAAGTTATTTGAGAATAAATCAGTGGAGAAGCTAAGTAGCAGGGTCGAGGGAAGGGGATGGGGGGACAATACCATTTTCCCGCCAATATATACACACGCGTTAGCGTTTCGTGTTAGAGTTTCCCGCCATATCCACAGGAATACCGCATAAATTAATAAAATTCCGGTGACGAGATGCGAGCCTTATAAAAGCCGTAATCTTCTTCAAAACTATAATATCAATAAAAATTAGACTAACTATTTTTCCCTTACAAAAGAAAGTGAACGATTTTCATTCATTTTTTGTCAACAGTTGTGGAATGGAGACGCTCGCCCTCCATCGCTGCGCCCTCGGCAAAGATGAATAAATATCTTTACTTTTGGGCGCAACGCTTTTTTATTTCAGAAAGCGTTTCATTTAATTTCTATAAGAAATATTTCGTAGTCTACAAATAAAGCTTGAGAGAATACATTAATATGAGTCTGACGCAAATAACTCATTTATACATAATGACAAATGAGGTCTTCGCTTTCCCAGACAATATTTATAGACCTTGTCATTCCTTTATTTTCTGGATCATTTAGACACAAATACCATACATTTGATATCATCCACGAATAAAGTAAATAATTTCTTCACGATCAGCGATCCCTTCTTGTTTGGAAGAAGTCGAATTTCGAAACTACGCTTCTCGTAATATGATATATAGTTTTACGCAAGAATAGCGTCAGCCATACTTTTGGTCAGCGGATTAAGATTCCGATTTGAAACAGCCGTGTCAGACTAATCAGTTGATACCCACATGACAAGTCTTATTGAACATTTAACCTTTAAATTAACGTAAGCACGCTATTTATTTTATTGTAATTGGTCAAGACAACAGCCCCGACTGAACTACTAGTAATTATTAAACTCGACTGTGAAGATTTTTTTTTAACCCATAATTTCATTCCTCTTTGAGTTTGGTTGTTTCTTGTAGTATAATTAGCACCTCGCGTAAACACACTGGGTTTTTATTTGTTAATCTTTTAAGGCCGTGATATCCCTACGAGGGTCAAAACAAAATGGCTTAAAATTAGAACTGATTAACTGACCCTTCTTGTCGTGCTAGAGAGAGACGTCGTTATCTTTTAACAAACATGGCGACCAACAAGAGCTTGTTCACAAGTGGTTGAAGTGCAGACCACATAGTGAACTAGACTAAACAAGATAGTTTAATTAATGAGATATATTTAAAAGCCCGCTACAACTGAAGATGAAAAATTATTAAGAAGTTCTCTTTTTCACAAGACTGAATATCAATTAAATTCAAAAAATGCTTGCATCACTCCAGCTCAGTACTACTGACTACTGCGGCCTAACGGTGGCATACAGACTGATACATATATTCTAAGTTATAAGTTAGTTGAAACCTTAAATTTTTTATTAAAACACGATTTTAACCTAAAGAGAAGGGTTTGCTTCTTTCTTCTTTTTCCCACTAACATTTTAGTACACAAAACTAATACTAAACGAAATCACGTGACGTATTTCAAACATGATTTTTCGTGCACCGTAACCTTTTCGACTGGACGCGTGACGATATCCAGGCTTTTTAAGGCTTAATTCAGCGATATTTAGTTCCGATTTGCTGGAGACATAGCGCCAATATTTTGGGTTATTCATCTGAAGTGCACCAACAACATACATGGACTTCTGCTGTAGAAAATAGTGACCTGATGTAAGCTCGGACATGATGTTTCATGTAATCAAATCTCAGTTAACTATAGTTTGAGTCTGTTTAGGCCTTGAAATCATAACAGGTCAGATCAACACGTAAGAGGGTCTTTTGCGGACACGAAACAACATCATGTTCTAAACAAAGCCGCATAGACTTCATAATAATGAGGACGACTATGGTGCTTGCAGTGCTTATTTTACTCTTCCTATATTGCAAGACTGACTTAGGTAAGCAGTACAGTCAGTAATTTATTCGCCAACACGAACGGTGAGCAATCTATGTCTTCAATCATCCCAGTTCCACTTTTGATTAGTTTAGTTGAATGAGATATAACGAAGACTGCTGACATCTTGAGCACATGATATATCTGCCGAGGTAGTGAAATATGTATATTCATTCTACCAGTTTTTTGTTGTTGTTGTTGTTGTTTTCTATAACAAGAAGCTAAGCCTCCAAAGCTGTTTGTAACAGATGTAAACGTTTTACAAGTGATTGCAATATATATAAGAATTATGTATGATGCCTTAACGCATTCAGTGCATTAAGGTGCTTACGATGCATAAATGTTACTAGTTCTGGTACGATGAGAAATTTCAAAATGTTTGTTTAGATAGTTACCCCAAAACTTAGACCGTTCCGTTTGGCTCAATAGAGAGTTTTAGATTTACGTCAGTTGGCCAGTAAAAAATTCTTTTAAATTACTGAAAAAGATTCGCAAAAAAAGTCCAAGTAGTAGAAAAACAAAAGAGTATTTGCGTTTGGTGAGACGGTTTGTAAAAGGTAAGGTAAAATAAAGGAAAACTATGAAAACGTGGTCACGTTTGCCGTTTGCGGGGAGAAAAAAAAGTCAATCTAAAACTCTCTAATATGAAATTAATAACTCGTAGCCTTATAAAGAGCATATTTAATAGCTGTTTGACATACTTCAGAAAAAATTTGTAACTCGTGAATGAAATGAGATATTTTCGACTTCCTTTCCAAGATTTTCGTTCGTGTCATGAATAAGGTCACGAACACCTTGGAAGGAAAGCACGGATCATAAGTAAGGCTGGCAGTTAAAAATATGATAAAGAAATGCTATACTTAGTGTTGTTAAACGTTCTTAGCCAAAACCCGCCACAGCATGTCATTTATTTGTCGACAGCGACGACTTATAAACACCAGACTCAGAATAAATATTTTACTTGTTCTAGATAACCCAAAAGTTTGACATCCTTCAAAACAAAATGTTTGATTATAACTGTGGATTAGTTTGATGTAGGTAAACATTATTACAGTTAAAAAATTTGACCACAAATACCAAAAATAATCATAGTCATCGCTGTTTCCTGCTAATTTGCTACTTGCAGTATAACTAGATATGACAGAATGTTTTTTTAATTGCTTAGGAACATTGTGAATAGATTTCAGCTAATTCGTAGCTCGGACATTTTTTGATTTTAATTTTGAGCTTAGTAAAATCAGAGAATCATTGGTTTTTTTAATTTTGAATTGTGGAAGCTAAGTCAAAGATRAGCTAGTCTTTAGTTGCGTGCTCGATTCTTCAGCGCGAACATGATCTTGCTGAGCAGACAATCGGCCAGACGGTTCCGCAAAAGAAGACTGGGCACAAAGTCTACCTGCAAAGATTTGTGGCGGAACCTAAATGAGATTCGTGAGCAAAAGATGATCCTAATGATATCAATCGTGCTGAAGGCTACCGGTAATCCTATAATTTCTGGGGGAAGGAGAACAATAAAGATTATTAGGGCAAAAGCAATATTGCCACGCATATCCTTACTCAAGCTGCGAAACTTTGTGTCTATATGTAGTTCTACTCTCGCTCTAATCGACTTATAAGGGTGTTGTTATATTGTATTTTTATAGCCGCCTTTTATGTAGCTTCATGTAACATTGAGTGATATACAATTCTTTTTATTTTGGAAATTGTTTCAGTTTTCGTAGATGGAGCTAACAGTAGTACACCATTACTCATAACACCATCGCCGAACATACCCTACAACATTACTCAACATCCAGCATCAGGTAAAACCTCATTCGTCATTAACCCAACGAAAACTACAAGTAACGACCATAGCCAAATGACAACAATTACGTCATCTTTGTTAATGATGATATCAGTATCTCCCTCGATAAGCATTGATACAAAGAACACGACGGGCATCGGGAACGACGAAGGCACAACGGCAAATTCAAAGACAGCACTTTATTGGGGCATTGGTGGAGGAGTTGGATCACTTGCACTCATCTCCATTGGAATCCTGGTAGGGAATAACTAAGATAATTTACTAGATATTAGGACATTTGGAATAAAGAGGAAAGGGTTTCAGTGCATGGCGGATCCAGGATTTCAAAAAGTAGGGTTTCCAAATTGCCGCCACACAGAAAAAGCTGGTCAGACTGGCTTCGCAAATTGAATCCAATTTCATTCTACTGAGCGTAAACAACAGGATTGGCTTCACAAGATCTCAAAAAAGGGGGAGCTCCATTTAACCCACGAAACCGCCGCTGCCTGGATCTGCCACTGTGTTTACGATTTTGTGAAAGCCATCAACCTCTCCTTGATTATGCCCATCCACCCAAGCCCTCCGCATAATTTTGGATTATTACAGTAAATTACCATAATGAATTATCCATATCTCTGCAAGAATTAATAATGAGCTAGGAAATAATCCTAACCTAAACTGCGTTTCTGAAACGAACGCTATAAATGTAAGGTGCCGGTAATTGTTGAATTCGGTTAAGCGGTTTTTGTTCTAAGTTTGTATACCATGCATATGCAGCTTTCAAGAATAAGGCGTTGATGGTAGTTCATGCTATATGTATTTACATATAGCAGAGACCCAGTAAATGTCTTGTCCAGTATTCTTGTGATGTTCAGCGATGTGATTGTTAGGTTCCTGTTTATTAGTGGCGCGTTTGTGTTCAGTAAGTCTGTTGTTTAAGGTCCTACCAGTCTGTCCGACGTAAGTGGAGTCGCAGTCAGTGCAAGCTATTTTGTAAATAGCTCCTTGTCTGTTAAGCGTTTCGTCTTTGTCTTTGATGTTAGTCAATAAACGTCGTGAAGTCATGATAGGTTTGTGAGCGGCACTTATGATGTAGGGTTGTAGAATTCGTGCTATAGCCTCAGAAGTCCCTTTGATGTCAGGTATATATGGTAGAAGTATTGGTAGGTTCATCGTTGGTTTTGTCAGTGAATGGTTTGTTGCTGAGGGTATTTTGTATAACGAAATCAGCATCATAATTATTCTTATCGAACACAAGTTGCAGATATTTGTTCTGTCGTGAAGTTTGTCAGGTGATTCACAAACAAGTTATGCTCGTCTAGTAAGTTCTTGATCGTAGTGGCTTTGTGTGATGTCCGGTTGTAAGATGTCTGGTCGAGTAGCCTGTCCGTGTGTGGGTTTGCGGTAAACAATAGCGTGTAAATGATTGTTGTTGTGTCCAACCAAATAGCCTAGAAACGGTTATAACACGGTTTTTTGCGATCTCTCTGGTGAACTGTATGTGTGTGTTTTGTTTGTTGAGGTGATTATGAAAAGCGTCTTGAGTATGTAATGCAGTTATGGTGTCGTCAACATAGCCGAACCAAAAAAGCAGGTCTTGTCCATAGGTAGCAAGGGCATGCTGCTCTATACTTTGCATAACAATTTCTGCTACAACGACAGATACCGGAAGGCCAATATCTGTGCCGTGTAAATATTTGTAGAGTTTACTGTTGTACTGAAAGTAAGTCGATGTGAGGCAAAGTGTGACAAATGATGTCTTTAGTCGGTATGGGTATAACGGTATGGGTGTCTGCGGTTTACGAAGTTTGGGAAGTCCGTAAAGTTTGGGTGTTTGTGGTACAGAACTGCGTAGTCGGTAATGGTAGTGTAAGAAGGCCAGAAAAACATCTGATTTGTACTGTACAAGAAATTTAAGATTTCACTTAGGTTTCTATGGTAACAATTTAGCCTTAAGGACGAAGTAACTATTGGAACAAAAGATTTAGGTTTGTTGACCTTGTAAAACACCTTCCTAACAAAGTTCACTAATTGAATTCTATACACCGGATAATGAAAGGTTCTTCTTATTTACTCAATAATCTGGACTTGGACCTTTTGACTTCAGCTGTTCACAAAACCAGTTTAGTAAGACTTGCGCAGAAAAGACTTCCTAAGGACACGTATAATTTTGGCGTCCTTCATTATAGTTGTTTACTCATAAATTTTTAGTTAAGAATTATTCCCTTACTGTTGGTATAAACTTTGGTTTACTTAAAATAGTATGTTTTGACTTAGAAACACAAGCGACCGTCATCGACGCTTTATTCAGTTAATCCTTTTCTAAAGACTCTTTTTAAGATTAAGGTTCTTAGGTCAATAAGGCCAATATTCTAATTTATTCCTGCAACTCAGTACTTTCACTGGAAACCAGACTCAAACCAGTTTTTGTAAGTAATTCTACAATTATGCTAATTTCTTCTATAAATATAGGTTAGTTTCAGATAGTTAGAGAGAGAGAGAGTAAAGAAAGAGAGATGTAGATTGTTAGTCGTGAAACAGTCTTGTAACTACTAGTACTTGTGAGCGTCAATAAAGATCCCGTGGAAACTCTAACCATAGTCTCCCCGACTTCACGACAGTAGTGGTCGACAATATTTGTCTCGTTCCATTCACCTATGTCATGTTTAATTTCATTTGATCTGTTTCTAGGTTTGCGGTTGTTTTTCCAAGTATAAGTCCCAACATCGGGTAGATGTCTCAAGTGAAAACACAAGTGACATGCCTCTTGGTGACTGCCCTTCATGGCGCCATGTCAATGTCAAACATCCATTGAGTTCTCGAATAACTGAAAGAACCGAACACTCGTCTTCATATAACTGAAAACAATGCAACTAATCGAAACGCGAAATAAATGTATATAAACTAAAACAGGTCAAGTAAGTCAGGGGAAGATAAAAGTGTCTCAGTTTTGCATTCGTAATAAAGACCAATTGAACAATCACTTCTCCCACGTCGAGCGCTCCCTTACTGCGAAGAAAATAAAAGCTTCGAATTATACACAAACACTACAGGTTGCTTTATTAATAATGGTAATGATAATAATAAAATTCTTATTAAGCGCATTCCAAAAATATATCAATGCGCTTTACAATATAAAGCCTTATATAAAGAATACTATGAAATAATATTAAATATTGGTTGAAAAAAACGAGAACACAAAAATTGATTGGTATATCTAATACTAATACTGGTGAACAATATATATACAAAAATACAACAAAAATATTGACTGATATATCTATTAACATTATACTAAAAAGTAACATCATTTGGAAATAAAAATGTCTTTAACTGCTTTTTAAAAGAATTCACACATGGTGCTAGCTTTATATTCTCTGGAAGAGCATTCCACTGCTTAGGTGCATAATCTAAAAAGTCGCGCTCGCCGCAGTGTTAGTCCTTAAACTAAGTCCTTGAACTCGGTACTTGAAGTGTAAACTTTGATACTGATCTTAGCCTCCGCGTTGGTTTGTGGCCATGAAGCAGTTTTATCAAGTACTGTGGGGCCAACCCATAGAGAGCATTAATGTAGGTAAGCAATAATACTTCGAAAACAATGCGTTTCTTAACGGGGAGCCAATGGAGCTGATGGAGAATTGGCAAAATAATTCTCACATTTCTTAGTTCTGAGGATCATTTAATAGAGCACAGTAGATATAAACTCATCTAGGGGAGGGGGTGCGCTACCCCTGCATCCCCCCCCCCCTCCCTAGATCTGCCATGGGCTGAAAGCAAAACTGTTTGACGCCAACAACAGCTATAGAACAACATGAACGAACTAGAAATTATTGAAAATGTGTTTGTAATTATAGGGCAAGGAGGGAGCCAGGAGAGGGGGGGGGGGGGGGCTCTACAAATAGACCATTTCACAGATCCCGCGGCTCAACCTCATCCTCGTCAGCGTGTAATATATTCTTTAGAAATTGCCTACAACCTGTGAAATTTTTTAGTGTTTCAAATGTTCGTTGATGCGTAAATTCCTATCATTACTGCGGACTTTAGTTAAATTCTAAAGAATAATTACACGCTGACGAGGCTGAGGTTGAGTAACGGGATCCGTGAAATGGCCTRTTAGGCCTTTCAAATGAATGGAGACGTCGTCATGCCACAACCAGCATGCCTTACGAATTTTTTTAAATATTATTATTGTTATTAAAATTTTTATTCTCGTTTTCATTTTATCAGTTTCAAAAGTCACATATATATAAATATAGATGAATAATCGGCTAATGAAACGCAGTCTTGTATAATTAAAATTATATTGAAAACATCCCAAAATGAAATGTTTATATCTTTCCTTATCTGGTGTCGCGATAAGCGGCCATTGCAAAGTAAAACAGTAGATCAATAGTGCTTTATAATGTGACGTCAATCGTATCCAAAAATAACAAGTTCAAGTTCAAGTTTATTAAAATAAAAAAATGTACATTACAAATATTATACACCACTGGCCTGCCATAGTAAAAACTAATTGAGGCAGGTCAGTGGTTTTACATTTCATAATATGATTAACTATACACAGTGTGTGTATATACTTATTTCAATAAAGTTAGTCACCAAAAACCTAGAAAGCTGTGACCGCTGAGAATCATGGGAACTATTTTATATTCAACAAGTAAAGCTTTTGACACAAACTGCAGCAGTTGAAGATGCTCAGAGGTGAGACTGTAACTGGTAGAAGATCTCAAGTCCATCAACAGTTATCAAGCGGTTGAAACATGTAAAATGTATCTACCCATAATCCTTGTCGGTCTCAGCTTTGTAGCTTTTCAGGTGACTAACTTTATTGAAAGAAGTGTATATGTATATGTATATTAATAATTCTATAATAATACGAAATTGAAGGGGCATACGAGATAGAAAAAGAGAAACTATGTTATAAAGAAAATATTGAAAAGAGTTTTTGTTTTGTTTTGGAGGAGGGAGTTTAACAGAAAAGCATTCATAGTGCACGCATATATTTGCAAGTTAACGGTCGGGTTTAAAGGTTTGAACAAAGAAAGCTGTAAGCTTAGAAATGTAATTTCAGTACAATAGTAAAGTACAAAAGAAAGAAAACTCAAATAATAAACAGAAAATTGAAACTTTTTTAACCTGAAATTTAATGCTAATTTTTAAAATGCAAAGAAAAATGGGGTGTCCCGAGCTTGTTTTTGAGATAGTCACTCCGGAAAGACATGCGTTTGTACAATTTTGGAAGAAAAATAGCGAAAATCAAGCTCTGTACAAAAAAAAATTATAAAACTGAAACTAAGGAAGAAACAGAAGTAATTTTCTCCGAACACGTATCTTACACTATATTTAAAGAGTACTGATAAAAGTTGTTTTAATAAACTATTGTAGACAATGGAAAAACTTTTTTTATCATCAAGCTGACACTGTTAGATCTTATCACTATGTCGCTATGCGACAGCACGTTTATATTCGACAACAAAGGTGCCGGCAGTCTTCTCAGACGTATAAACCCATGGATATTTGTCCGACATGTAGCAATTCTATTGTTCAGATTCTTACTTTTGATTGGCTAATTAGTGGGAAATTTGTCGAGGTGGCTTTGGTTGGAGAAGTCGCACTGTAATGGTTAAGAAAATGCATCCAAATGCCCAGTTTGAAGTCGTTGTTGAAGTATAAAACTTTGCAACTTAATCATTATATATATAAAGAGGCAACAGTCCAAATAAGTACCATTTCACCATTCAACTATTCACTTCATGCTGGCATTAGGTCCACGCTTTAAAACGTCGAATCGGAACCAGACTATATGAGAATCGCCAAATTAAAATTTCAATTACAAACCCAATAAACAATATTGCAGGAGGGTTTTTAATAACTCTATTTTGCTACAAACCTTGGATTGTTCAAGCAGAGAATACGTGATACGCCCCCACACATCCAATCACTCACTTTGGTAACCGTAACATTGATTTATAACCGTTACGTGCGTAATAGACTCAAACTATCAAGGCCCGCGAAGGCTCTTCAGAAATGCCATAACGACCCCCTGGGTACTTTTTCCATTTCGTCGAGGAAGGCATTTCTACACTAGACTGTGTCATAGGCCCGCCAAAGGCTCTTCAGAAATGCCATAAAGACCCCCTGGGTACTTTTTCCACTTCGTCGAGGAAGGCATTTCTACACTAGGCTGTGTCATAGACCCGCCAAAGGCTCTTCAGAAATGCCATAAAGACCCCCTGGGTACTTTTTCCATTTCGTCGAGGAAGGCATTTCTACACTAGGCTGTGTCATAGGCCCGCCAAAGGCTCTTCAGAAATGCCATAAAGACCCCCTGGGTACTTTTTCCACTTCGTCGAGGAAGGCATTTCTACAGTAGGCTGCCACAGGCAAGACTTGTCACACAGCCATACATTTCTTTGTAGTTTATCGAGTGTTTTCAAAAAAAATTACTCCCAAAATATTGAACATAGGGTGCAAACAACATATCCGTGAAACACTAATTGCTAAATCGTTCAAAATAGTGCTACAGTAGCTAAAAAAAAGAAATTAAAACAATAGCATTAGCATAAAATATTGTAAGTTAGTATTACTAATATTACGCGGATATATTGTTTGCATTCTAATACTCTCAAATTTTCAGTAGTTACTAGATAAGACATCATCGCCAACTATGCCGGCCATGCGCCGCTCGCCAAGTCAGTGGATATCATGTATAAAATACAAACCACAGGAGGCCCAAGCTCTCTCAGGCCCGGACTTAGAGAAACAAAACCTTTTGCTACGGTATTCCTGTGCTTTAATAGGTATCCTATTACAAACGATGGCAAACGAGAGCTGAGGATTCAAGCTTTATTTTGGTACCAAACATGCCGTATTTTGCGAATAATTTTCAAGGTTTTTGCTTCACAAAGTGCCTATTCTTGAAGAAGGATCTCACAAATATTCGTCTCAAATCGGAGCTTTTTGAAAGTAAAAAATGAAAAGTATAAATTCGTTCAATCGACCACAGATTCGACATCAGTAATTTAGAATGTGTGTATTTTAGGGATCGACCCCGACAAATGAGGTAACTAGTTCTGATTTTGAGAAATCCTGTTTATAATATTTGACCTTTTGTGTTTTTCTTGCAATTAACAAAGCGCTTATGGCAAGAAGGCTGTTAAAATCTAACTATCGAGACGAAAAGGTTTTTCCAAACAAATTAAAGTATATTTGGTAAAAATTAAATGCTTTAATGTTATATATTGTTCTTCTACCCCGGCAAGTGGAAAACTGTTTACACAGAAATTTATAAATCGACAAAACTATATTGACTCTCTATACATTTCTTTGTAAAATCTGACTTAACTCGCTTAACACTTTCAAGCGACACCGCTGCATTTGTACGCGGGCGCATGACCGGAATAGTTGGCGATGTCTCTTCCGATTTCGCTTTGCTTTTAGCTTGAATTTTTTATGCTAATGAGGGAAAACGTAAATAAAGATCGGCCTACATAGAGCGTTTTCAATCTCGTGAGAAAGCAGCCATAAACAATAGAAACTTTCTGCAAAGTATTTGCATAAAAATATAGTTCAATTCCCGGAGGATAGAAATTGTATTGTTTTGGTACCCCATAATGGCCGCTGTGACGTCACGTGAAAACGCTCTATACAAAATCCTTTTGGAATTCAAGCTATTCACTTTAGCATAAAGCAATAGCGGAGCGCAGTCATACTAAAAATAGCTTTGCATAATTGACCCCCCGGCGAGATTCGGACAAACAAACCGATAGTTCACTGTGTATTACTGTGAATGAGTACGCTTCAACCCAAAAAAATCGCGATTTCATTGCAAGATGGTCACTACGAAACACTGTTGTTGGGGACAGTGTAAAAATGACTCGAGATACCCTGACAAACTGCCCAGATCGTTGAAAGAAATGGCAGATTTGGGCAAAAAGATATTTCTCCCTTTTCCGAAGCCATGGAACRATCTTGAGAGATGCCAACGATGGGTTAATGCCTGCTCTCGCGAAGATTTCACTGTAAAATGTATCACAAAAGACACGTATATTTGTGTAGAACATTGGCCTGGAGAAAAGGGACCGACCACAG